GTGTGTGTGTGTGTGTGTGTGTGTGTGTGTGTGTGTGTGTGTGTGTGTGTAGACAGGGTTTCTAACTGGCCTGGAGCTCACCAAGCAGGCTGGCTGGTGAGGCCCGGTGATCTGCCTGGCCCGACACTGCGGCGCTGGATCACGAGCCTGGCCCTGAGACCAGCCTTTTTAACATGTGCCGATAGACTGAGCTCAGACCCACATGCCCACACAGCAGGCACTCTACTAATTACGTCATGGCCTTGGCCCTGCCATGGAGGGTAGGAGTCAGCCAGCTCTCACCGTCCACCATGTGGGTTACAGGACCTGAACTCAGGAGGCCAAGTGTGGACCCAAGTGCCCACTAAGCCATTTCTCTGGCCCAACTTGACTTCTGGAGTTGATAGCATATCAGGCATACTTCCATGCCCAAAACACCTGTACACCGTAACTTGAAAATTTAATGACATTTCATTATATAATCATATTATAGCCCATTTAATCAAGCTCTTTTGACATGTTTACCATATTTTACACATAGGGTGTCTTGCCTCAGTACATAGCTGTATATCACGTGCATGCAGTGCCTGTGGAGGCCAGAAGAGGGCGTTGGATCTCCTGGAACTGGAGCCAAAGGGCTCCATGTGGCAGCTGGGAATTGAACCTGGGTCCTCTGGAAGATCAGCCAGAGTTCTTAAACACTCTGCTACTTCTTTGGTCCCCTACCCAAAATTTAATATTAAGTAAAGGTTGATTTTCTGTAAGTATTTTCATTACCATAGACTATAAGCACAATTTAAAATAACTTTCTGTTAAATTTTAAACTGGTGCTCATTTGTTACGGTCCAGGGGATCTGTCTTAGCTAGAGTTCCTGTCACTGTGATGAAACACTATGATCAAAGCAATTTGAGGGGAAGAGGGGTTACCCACCTCACCCTCCCATGTCAGTTCATCACCAAAGGACTTCAGGACAGGAACTCAAGCAAGACAGGGACCTGGAGGAAGGAGCTGATGCAGAGGCCATGGAGGGTGCTGCTTGCTGGCTTGCTCCTCAGGGCTTGCTCAGTAGGTTTTCTATAGAATGCAGGACCACAGCCCAGGAATAGCACCACCCACAATGGCCTGGGCTCTCCTATGTCAATCACAAGTTAAGAAAATTCCCTACAGACTTGCCTACAGCTAGATCTTACGGAGGGATTTTCTCAACTGAGGCTGCTCCTCTCTGATGACTCTAGCATGTGGCAAGCTGACACAAAACTGGCCAGTATAGGATCCAATGACATCTTCTGCTCTCATAGGTATCATGGTATCCATATGAACATGTTTGCACACACACACGCAAACATGCAAACACACAAATAAACACACATTTAAAAGCTACTGGAAGGTATAAATATATTGATATAGGTTTAAGGTTCAGAAAGAAAAAAAATGTAAGTTTATTATATAATAATTTTTGTAGGGAATTGAAAATATAATCTTATTATCCAACAAAGTATTTTGAAATAATTGGTTTTGAAGTTGGAAAAAATGTTTGACTTGTACTTCATCCTACTTATACAAAATATAAGTTCCTGCTAAGATGGAAATTTAAGTATATAAAAGGAAATTGTGACAAGGACTATGGAAGCACAAGCAAATAATATTCTCAGGATCAACACAAACGCAACTAAAAGGAAATGTGACTAGAAATGGCTAGTGCAGCCATGAGCACTTTCCTCAATGTGCCCTTTCAATTTTATCAAATGGAGGAACCAGGACTGCCATTCACATGCTGTTGAAATCTGCTCCATTTCAAGTTCATTTTATCAGACCTTTGCATGAATAGTCTGGTTGTTAGGCAAGAATTGCCTCTAGACAGTTTTCATATACTGCAATTGGAGGTGCCTCCTCAGGGCGCCTCTTAGTCTGATGTAAGTTGGCCCCGGGCTCAGGCCTGTACTGCTGTCACACCTGTTAAAGACAGCCTGTTTCAAAGGAACTGAGGAGTTGGAGATTTATGTGGTTTTTTTTCTTTTGTCTATCTATCTATCTATCTATCTATCTATCTATCTATCTATCTATCTATTTTTAGCACCTGATTTGTTCTTTGCCACCACAGTGTAAATGTCTTAGGGTTTTTGTTTGTTTAGTTGCTTGTTTTGTTTTAGTTTTCTAAGGTTAAAATATAACTACATTCTGAATTCACATTTAGTTCATGCCTGTGTTGCACAGAGGCCTCTTGGAGGAGAACCTTTCCCCGAATCTGCCTTGCTATGACTTCCCTCTCTGCCCTTTATACCTCTGGGTTTTATGTATTCTCTGCAGCCCCTCTACCCCATGGGCTCTTCAGCTCTTGCTGAACACCTGTCTTTTTTTTCTTTATTAATTACACTTTATTCCCTTTGTTTCCCTCCTGTGGTTCCCTCCCTCCTCCCGTCCCTTCCCTTCCTCCACCCTCTGCATGCATGCCCCTCCCCAAGTCCACTGATAGGGGAGGACTTCTTTTCCTTCCTTCTGATCCTAATCACTTAGGTCTCATCAGGAGTGGCTGCATTGTCTTCTTCTGTGGCCTGGTAATGCTGCTTCCCCCTCAGGGGGAGGTAATTAAAGAGCAGGCCAATCAGTTCATGTCAGAGACAGTCCCTGTTCCTATTACAATGGAACCCACTTGGATATTGAACTGCCATGGGATACATCTGTGCAGGGGTCTTAAGTTATCTCCATGCATAGTCCATGGTTGGAGTATCAGTCTCAGGAAAGACCCCTATGCTCAGATTTTTTTGGTTCTGTTGCTCTACTTGTGGAGTTCCTGTCCTCTCCAGATCTTATTGTTTCCCACTTCTTTCCTAAGATTCCCTGCACTCTGCCCAAAGGTTGCCCATAAGTCTCAGTATCTACATTGATAGTCTGCAGGACAGAGCTTTTCAGAGGTCCTCTGTGTCAGGCTCCTGACTTGTTCCCTCTTTTCTCCTTCTTCTGATATCCAGCTTCTTTGCCTTTCTGGATAGGAATTGAGCATTTTATCAAGAGTCCTCCCTCTTGATTAGTTTCTTTAGGTGTACAGATTTTAGTAGGGTTATCTTATATTATATGTCTATATGAGTGAGTATATACTGTGTGCATCCCTCTGTTGCTGGGACAGCTCACTCAGGATGATCCTTTCCAGTTCCCACCATTTACCTGCAAATTTCATGATTTCCTTGTTTTTTATTACTGAGTAATATTCCATTGTGTAGATATACCACAATTTGTGCAAGCATTCTTCAGTTGAGGGCATCTGGGCTGTTTCCAGCTTCTGGCTATTACAAATAAGGCTGCTACAAACATGGTTGAGCAAATGTCCTTATTGTGTACTTGAGAATCTTTTGGATATATGCCTAGGAGTGGTATAGTTGGATCTTGAGGAAGTGCTATTTCTAGTTGTCTGAGAAAGCGCCAGAGAAAGAGGTAAAAGTTTTCTAAAAATGTGAGCCATGGTTGTGTGTGTCTACTTGATTTTAGGTAAATAAACAGAAAGCTTGCTTTCAAAACCAGACATGTCTGCTCTGATCAACATTGGATATATTTTTTTTTCTGCTGTCAGGCACTGTCCACAGATGTCAAGATCATTGAAGCCCTAGGCACACTACAAAAGACAGAATGATTGTCAGTAAATGTTATGGCAGATAGCCCGACAGTGGTGCAGACCGTTCAGCCACTGTTCAGTACCTTCCTACAATAGCCCAGTCCAAAAGGCATGTGCTAAATATGGCTGCCAGCCACTCCCTGGTCCCACCCTTGCTTTACAATTTTATTCTTGTGGAACAGAGTGGAGATGCAGAGTCTGAATCCTCTAAACCGCTTACAGCTTTCTGTAAGAGGAGACAGGTGAAGCCTCCTGAATGAGGCTCAGCCCTGCTTCGAGGTCCCGTGGGGCCCATGTGTTTGTTCCGGCTTGGACAGTAACACCATGCAAACCACAGCTGGCCATACTCACTCATTGGGGGTTCCCTTCTGACCACAAAACTGTCCCTTGCTGTCTGTTGGGTAGGCCACTCTCCTGGGGTCACCATGTGCCCAAGCTGCAGGAACAAGAAAGGACAATTCTCCATCAGCAACATCTGGCTGGAGGAAGTCTGATTTGAGAGATTGGAATTGGCACAGCAACGCTCACCCTTCCCCTCAGTCATAGAACATTATTGATTTTCTTCAAAGAGTAATTTCTTAATGAAAAGTAAAGTAAAATATGGATGAATTGGTCTGAAAGCATGTTTGTCTTCCCTCCAGATCATCTGGGTTGCAGCCAAAACATGAGGTAATGTACTTAGAAAATGACAGTTATTAAAATGAGGAGGAGAGGGCACAGACAAAAGCTCACTTGGAAAGGAAGATGCCTTTTCTAAAGCTCAAGCAGAAATGACTTCATCCCAGAGCAGATAAATTTACACCAAGCAGCATGATGTAATGCTTTGGGGGTAAACAGAAGTGAAAAATACTGAAAAATTCAACAGAGTGAACCGACTAGTTCTCTGATTTCATAGGACTTTCAAAAGACGAACAAGGGCTCGGCAGAGGCATCCCATAGTAAACACTGCCGAGAATCTGTCCAGTGTCAGTACAAACACAGGCGCCCCGACTTGAGTATAATAAGGGCTTGGTTGTATTTTCTGTAAAGGTGCTGGGCTCTGCTTCATACAAACTCATCACCTTTTGTGTTTGTTTTCACGTGGATTATAAACTTGGTCTGACAGCTAGACTACAAACCTTTAGTAAGTAGTATTAAATTAGCTAATGCTTGTTAATTCCAACTGGATTTTCTACCTCTTCAACTTTGAACAATGCAGTTTTTAAAAGTCTAGGCTGCGAATGAAAACACATCTTTTTCCTTTGCTTCTGGTAACATGGCTCGGCCTTCTCCTTACCCACTCTTATTGGATCTGACAGTTCTCCTTATAATTCAATCACCCTTATGCATGTGGCTGGTGTGGCTTGAGATGATAAAAGGAAATCAATTTTCTGAATGAGAATTTGGAATAAGGAAGAATATTTTTTTTGTCAGTATTTTCCTCATCAGTCCAAGCTTTTCTGTGCAGTGTCTAAGTACCAGGAAGGTTTCCTTTGTCTACAAACAACAAATCAGCTTCCATCTTCAAATACTATCTTGTGAGATCAGGGTAGCTATCTGCCAGCATGTCTTCCTGTCCTTATTTTTTCAGAATAAAGAAAGTGAACTATAAATAGCTGTATAAATTATGTTCAAGTGCTCAGTGCTCAGCTGGACCCTTAATGCACTGTTTCTATGCCTCAGTTTGTCACATGCTGGCTAAGCCTAAAAGAGAGATCCATTTTTTCCAGCTCTATGTCTTAGTATCTCTTTTAGTTTTACCCTAAAATGTTTTATCCTTTTCCCTAAATAATTATTAACTGTGAATTAGGTATATGATTCCTTTTTACATAATTTTCTTTACTCTTGAGAGTAAAGACACATTAAATATACATAAAGCAACGTGATCGCACCCACCCAGCTTCCCCTCCAGCTCTCCCCATATCACCTAACATATTTCTCTTTGTCCAGTTAGCCTTGCTCATCCGTTTGTGGTGTAGAGACATTCTCTGGAGTACAGGCAACAAGTTGTCACACCCTTTAAAAAAAGGATTCTCTCTTCCCCAGTAATTGCAGATGGCCAAAAGCTCTCCAGTAAGGAGTGGGGCCGGAGACTCACCCCCATGCTTAAGTATCTATTTATTATCTATTACCCAGATCAATTTGTTCACTTATTTTGAGCCTCAACTTTCTAACTAGCCACTAAAACACAAACCTAATGGTCTCAAAATGCACAGACTATTGAGACTGCAAGGGAAGATAATGAAGGTGGACCACTGTGAGCCCTCAGAACCCACTGTGGATTCAGTAACATTAGCTCGTTCTTCAATGTCTCCAAAAACAAGAACTGACACTGGACTTTGATGCATGTGTTGTTTCTGGGGTCGCTTAGAAGCTTCCACAGCTGCAATGGTGCTCTCGATCCAGGAAATATTTAAGACAACAAAGGAGACAGTACCAGCAGGACATGGTAGAAGGCAGCTGTGGTCACCCAAGAACTTCTGTGACCCCCTGGACATGCATGGAGAGCCATTGTACTTGCTCCCCGCACACTGTAAACTGTGAACACATGCCAGTGGGTTGAGGGGAAGTGTGGCCTCCCTTCAGTAGTAGCTGTCCTGAGCATGATTTCTTTTTCCTTTTACATCATCAATAACTAATTAAGGACTCTACTAGGTGACGGCCGTATGTGGGAGTCAGAGGCCATCTCTGGGATAAATGCACACCGGAGTTCTGAAAGAGAGTGGAAAGGGGAGAACAAAGTTTACAGAGGGCTCAGTGGAGACATTAGACCTGAGAGACTTTTTGAAATATGATTAGGATTTCAACGTGGCATTGAGAGTGGGCAGGGATGGCAACCAAAGGGACTGTGTGATAATAAAAGCTTGATCTGCATGTACATCTGTATGTATGTATAAGTATATATCTAGATAGCATATGTATTTATCTGCATGTACATCTGTATGTATGTGTAAGTATATATCTAGATAGCATATGTATTTATCTGCATGTATACCTATATGTATGTTAGGCATATATCTATATGTCATATGTATTTATCTGTATGTATATCTATAACAGAATCTATTGTCTGCTGGTGATGGATGAAGGGGTCTCTGCTATACTAAGGACCCTATGTAACTCATGCGTCTCACAGTAACTCTGAGAGGCTGTCATTCTTTAATCTAAGTTTTATGTTATAGCTTATTTCCCAAAGTTACAAATCTTTTAAGTTATACATCTTTTCAGTGACGTAACCAGAGCTTAATGGTGCTTCATGAGGTTTTACCCAGCAGACTATCATGGCAAGGAAGTCAAAAGAGATTAAATAAATTGAAAATACTTCCATAATAAAAAAATTTAGACATAATATTAAAAATATTCCTTAATTAAGAAGTTTCAACAAATTAAATAATGACACCTCCTGCTAAGAATAGACGAGGAGAAAGCTTGTTTTGGTTTCATTTCTGCTGGGGAGAAAGGTTTGCTTTAGCTCACAGTTCCATGCAGTCGCTGCAGAGAAGTCGAGGCAGGAACTGGCTGGCTGCTCACATCACATCCAGAGTCACCAGCAGAGAGAAGTCAACATTGCTTGCTTGCTTGTGCCCAGCTCAATGTCTCCTCGCAGACAGAGCTCAGAACACCCTGAGTGGGTGATGGTCCTGCCCACTTTAAGGCTGGTTCTTCTCACATCAGTTGAGGTAAATGATCTGTCCCAGACCCACACAGTTCCCCGCCCAGACTCTTCAAAGCTGATTCCAAATTGTGCAAAGATGATACTTATCACTCCCAGACAGACCTGGTTAACAGTAAGAACCGTGGCTGGGAAATGAAGCTTCTCCTCCAAAGGTTCTTGTGTCCCTGTACAGATGTTCAGAGCTGAGGACCCTGGAAGGTGAGCGGCTCTTGAGGTCTCTGAAGTCAGTGGGCTGACCCGCTGATAAAGCTGTCATTGGACAGCAATGTTGAAAGAAGGGAGGAACTTCGGGCAGGAAGGCAAATGTGAAGAAAGCGGGTCACTGGAAAAGTGTTCTCAGTGGGCTCTGCCTTGTCCCTGGTCCTCTCATCTTCTCCCTGCTTCCCTTCCACCCTGAGGAGAGCATGCAGTGTTCCCACCTTGATGTCCAGCCTCACCTTGGGCCTATCAATGAAGCCAGGCGAGCATGGACTTTCCTGTTTCAAACTCTCTCGAGTATTTGTCACAGTGATGAAGAGGGTAACCGCCACCCTGGGGATCAGCAATGGCTTAGGACAATGATAGACCTGCCATGTAAGAAAGGAACTGACACAGGCAATCCGAAAGCTTTGGTCATTTGGAGAAAAGACCTTGTTCTTGTAGAGAGGTCAGGACGGGAGACAGAGCAGGAGCCTCAAGCATGCAGCAGTGAGAGAAGGAGATAAGGTAATAGGGGCCAGGAAGGAGCTCTGCTCTCCACCTCTGCTGCTGAGCCGTGGCTGTGCTAACTAAGCAGCTCCTGTCTTCCCAACTCAGCTCTGGCGATGAAGCCAGGCCACAGATGGGTGCATTTGAGCTGGAACACAGAGACTTTGTGCTCTAAGCTGCCAGAAAGAAAAGGAAAAGAGGTGTGCACCAGCAGAAGCCACATTTGATGATGTTCAGAAAGTCAGGAGTGTCTGTTGGAGAAGTCACATGTCCACTAAGACCTACAGATTGTTAGACCAGGCACAGGTTGTGAGTGGAAAATACATGGCTGGTGCTTTTTATATTTGAAGACAGGGTATCATGTGATCGGATGACTATGGATGTAGTCAAGGGTGATTCTGAGTGTCTGTTTCTCCATTTCTACCCGAGTGCTGGGCTTGTAGATGTGAAACACCAGGCCGAGTCTACGTAGTGCAAGAAATTGAGCCTGGGCAAGCATCCTATTGGCGAGTCACATCCTCACCAATGCATACTTTAAACAGTATGGAAAATAAAAGAAGCTCTCAGTATTTTATACTGGTTGCATTTGAAATGATACTTAAAATACATTATTAACTCACTAAAATAAATTCACTAATTTCTAGGGCTTTTGTTTGCTTCTCTTTTTGTTGTTGTTGGTTTTTGTTTTGTTTGTTTTATTTTTGTAGAAAACACTCAAATGTGGAAAACTGGAGATTATATATGTCATTCAAGATGTTTCTCTGTCAGATCTGGTCTAGAAGATATCTTCACAAATGTGGACTTCGGGGAAAAGGTGATGAGTGTTGTTACATCATTGATCTAAGAAGTCACCCAGAAGTCTGTGGTACCAAGCACACTGCTGTTACATACTTTATAACAATTCCCGTTCAAAATCTGGCAATAACAGTCACTAAGAAAATAACAGTTTGTCCCAAAGTTAATATGCAGTTAATGTGGGCCAAAGGGGGAAGAAGCAGTTTTCTTTAAGGGTCGGGCCTGTGGTATACCCACTGCACTCCAGCGGATGGCCTCATACTCATGAGCATCTGAAGAACACAAATTGGACTTGGAGT